TGCAAATCTTCACATGTGCGTGGACTGCTTTGAATTTGTGTGTGGTATTTTTGAGACCTTCCTGGCAGGTTAAGATTCATAAATATCTTTTTTTGGAGGATGTTCCGTTCAGCCAATCGCGGTGAGCTTGTAATCCACCAATCAAGACACTCTTTACTGAACAGACTCAAGAAGCTCAACGCTGTGCTTGTACGAAATTGTAATTTACGAATCGGATTTTGTAAATGTAAATTATGCTGTGCATTTATGAATTTTGTTTTGCAAATGTGTTATTTTTGAGGCTGATCTGTCTCCATAGAATGTGCTCTGTACAGGACACCCAGACTTAAAACTGTGACATGTGAGGTCTCAGAGAAATCACTAAAACATAATGTCCTCTACAGAGGCAAAAACTCCATAGCTGGGTCTCAGGAGGGTATAAAATATGATATAAATAATAATAATGGTATTATCGGCGGTGCTAAAGACTTTTATTTTGAAGTTCCGCTCGCTCTTGAGGCTCCACGGTGGCTGGTTTCGCCTGCAGAGAGTTGGGCGACTCATGCAGACAAACATCGGCTGAGTCCCGTTCATTCTGGCATGATTAAATCGCACACATTTACCGCATCTACAGAGTGAGAGTGCTCGTGAAGCCATGTGGATTACCCCGGAGGAGGTGTTACTGGCCAACGCGCTGTGGGTGAGCGAGCGGGCCAATCCGTTTTTCATCCTGCAGCGGAGGAAGGGACACGGGCGCGGAGGAGGCATCACGGGTATGAGCTGCATGCTACCTACATATGAACGATCGGGCCCGTGTGCATGACAGAGCTCTCATGCACAATCAACGATAGTTTATCAAGACCGCTATACTTGCTGCTAAATCATTATAACTTGTTATAATATGTAACTTAGGTGGGTTTGTTTTGGTCGCATCTCTTCATTGATGCTGACTGTGTTTGCGTCATCTTTATTTGTATCTGACAGATCTGTGAGATACAAGTTTATTCAATTATTCTAATGTTAAGAAACGGTAATAAATAAATTACAGATGGTTGAAATGATACATTTAACATTTCTATGTGCCCGATATTTGCCATATAAAACACACTCATCACAGATTTCCTTTTTTTTAAATCTTCAACAGCAATATAATTGTTACCCTTCAGATACTTTAACCAGATGTAGTGCTGTCAAATCGAATAATCGCGATTAATCGCATCCCAAAGAAAAGTGAGTTTACATAATATATGTGTACTGTTTATATAAATACACACATACATGTATAAATGTAAGAAATATTTACATCATATAGTTATATATTACATTTATTTCTTAAATATATACACGTGTGTGTGTTAAATTACAGATGGTTGAAATGATACATTTAACATTTCTATGTGCCCGATATTTGCCATATAAAACACACTCATCACAGATTTCCTTTTTTAAAATCTTCAACAGCAATATAATTGTTACCCTTCAGATACTTTAACCAGATGTAGTGCTGTCAAATCGAATAATCGCGATTAATCGCATCCCAAAGAAAAGTGAGTTTACAGAATATATGTGTACTGTTTATATAAATACACACATACATGTATAAATGTAAGAAATATTTACATCATATAGTTATATATTACATTTATTTCTTAAATATATACACGTGTGTGTGTGTGTATATATATATATATACACATACATACATACATATATTATGTAATATATATACTATAATACTATACTATAATACTATACTATAATATACTATACTATACTATATATACTATATATAATACATATATTATGTAAACAACACAAACATTTATTTTGGATGCGATTAATCATGATTAATCGATTTAACAGCACTAATACATACATTTTATATATATATATCTATATCTATATATATATAGATATAGATATATATATATATATAGATATAGATAGCATGAAACTAGAAAAATAATAATTATTAATATGTTTTGTGTGTCATGACAATATATTACTTTCTTAGCTTATATTATTCCCTCCTGGGAAAGATGTTCATATGCGTTTCCATATCACCTAAAAAACAGACAACAGACAAAAACAGGCACTTTTTAAGACGAGTGGCTCACAAGATCGCAGAATGATGGCATTCACCCCTGAACCCGACTATAAACTCAATTACGTTTGGAAGACCTCAGCAACGCCTTGTTGTCTGGAAGTTACATCATACGGGTGTTTTGTCATACTTCAGTGAGTCTCTTATTAGGTGTGATTTGTGTTAATGTCATGCTTGTGTAATACTTAACACATAACGCATTACATATTCCAACAACACTTTATTCCTTTTGAAGAAGCCTGTTAGTGTTTATGTCTCTGTCAGAATCACACATTAACTGATCATGTGACCGCTGTTGGAGGAAGTCAAAATGTGTGTGACAAATGGCATGCCCTGTCTTACATTCCTCTCTCACACATGACTGTTTATCTGGGTGAATATGTGTGTGTCAGCAATGAGAACTGAAGGAAACCACTGTGCTCTGACGCCTGTTATTGACTAAGAGGTTTTTTTTCTCTCTTCATACCGCATGTGGATGTGACCTGTGAACTTTTCTCTCTTTCTGTTTTTCTCTCAGGTTTGCTGGTGGGTACGTTGGATGTGGTGCTGGATTCGAGTGCTCGCGTGGCTCCGTACAGGATCCTGCACCAGACGGGAGAGTCACAGATCTTCTGGAATATTGCTTGTGGTCCGTATTTAAGTCTGTAGAACATCATTTGGTATCCGGGTCCGAAATGTACACAAAATAGGGATGTGCACGCATGCTTAGAATGCAGACATCCCAGCAATGATGAAAAAGCAACAACTGCATGATTTTAGTTTCAAAATATTTCATTAGTTGGTGCTTGCTTAATATATAATATTATATATTATATAAATATTTTTTTTCAGTGGTTTTCGTTATTAGACGTAGTTGATTTGTCTTTCTCCAGACAAATTGATTAGTCTGGGTTTGTTTAGTCAGGTGACAGATAACAAAGGAAACTGTCTTGATGTTTTCCTAAAAAGTTACTCTTTGACTTAACCTGTAGTTCTTTTACCCGCGTTCATTTATTACCATCATCTCAGCGTCGCCTGCACCTGCAGTGATGAAAATCTGGAGAGTGACTGACAGTGTTGTGTCACATTGACCGTATCTCCTGTGTAAACCTCACCTGACCTTTAAACAGCCGCCCTGAATTTGAGTGACATATTAAAGGCTCTGACACAGTTAAAGGGTTAGTTCACCCAAAAATAAAAATTAGGCTGCGTTTTACTCACCCCCGATGCATCCTAGGTGTATATGACTTTCTTCTTTCAGACGAATCCAGTTGGAGTTATATTAAAAATGGTCTTTGATCTTTCAAGCTCTATCATTGCAGTCAGTGGGTGTTGCATTGCTTCTGTCCAAAAGACGTGAAATAAAAAGCACCTTTCCATTAAATAAAGAATCTCACACGGCTCCGGGGGGGTGAACAAAGGCCTCCTGTAGCGAATCGATACGTTTTTGTAAGAAAAATATCCATATTCAAAACGTAATAATCTCTTTAATCTATCTTGCGCCAGCAGTTGTACACAGAAGCAGCTCCGGGCGGATGACGTATGAGGTCAGCGTTGCGCATGCGCCGGTGAGTCTCGTGAAAACCAACGTTTGTTTACAGGATCAAAAGAAGCAAAGTTTCCTTACTTTAGCAAAGGAAAACCAGTCTCCTCTCGGCTTATATCGAAATCCTCTGACATTCTTCATTACAAATCCTCGTTTTGTACTTCTAATTAGTGAGTTTTGTTTCAATCTCTCCGCGTGCGTCACTTCTGAGCAGAGCATGCGCAAAGCTGACCTCATACATAATTCCCCCGGAACTGCTTCTGTTACAACAGTGAGCGCAAGCTAGATTCAAGTGATTATTACATTTTGAATATGGATATTTTTCTTACAAAAACACATCGATTCACTACAGGAGGCCTTTGTTCACCCCCTGGAGCTGTGTGAGACACTTTTTATTAAGAATGGGTGCTTTTTATTTCACGTCTTTTAGACAGAAGCAATGCAACACCCGCTGAGTACAGTGATAGAGCTTCAAAGATCAAAGACAATTTTTCATATAACTCCGACTGGATTCATTTGAAAAAAGAAAGTCATATACATCTAGGATGCATCAGGGGTGAGTAAAACGCCGCCTAATTTTAATTTTTGGGTGAACTAACCCTTTAATTCCAGTGGTGTATTGTAACGAAGTAATAATACTTCGTTACAGTACTTTTAAGTATTTTTTGGGAGTATCTGTACTTTACTTGAGTTTTTAAATTTCAGCCAACTTTTACTTTTACTCCACTACATTTCCTAATTAAAATGTATACTTTTACTCCGATACATTTCCCCGAAGCTTATTCGTTACTTACTACAAAATAGTCAGAAGTCAGAAGAACACGGACTGCAGGAAAGCAGGTTTGACGAATCAGTGGTCTGCCGTCTGCAAGTTAGACTGCTAAAAACACCTTTGCTCATGTGTAAAAAAGTGTGCGGCTGCACGCACAACCGCAGATGATTCATTTTCCACTCAAGTCGAGTCGGGCGTGCGATACAGCATCGTCTGCGATAATATGGTAAGTGTTTGTGTTGTAATGATGTGCGATCAACCCACTCCAGACTCTGTCCATCTTTGACAACGACGATGACATTACCACCTTCGTCAAGGGCAAAATACAGGTGCGATTTGATTTCATTTTTATAAAGTAAAGAGACATATTGAAACCATTAAATTAGGATTAATTAATTTCTTCACAGATAGTTAATTATAGTAGCTCCTCAAATCGTAGTCTAGGTCTAAATGTTTCTTGGAATAAGTATTACAACTGTCTCTTGCTTTTTGTTCATTGCTAGTTTAACATTTTTATTTAAAAAAAGGAAATAATACTGATGAGAAATGGGAATATTGGTTGTGCTTGCTTTTTTGACATACAGAATATGAGACTCGCACTGCATTTTCATGCTGGAGTTTGAGGCAAAAGAAACTATATATGCATATCATGATTATAGGGATATATATATAGGGTGATGTGTGTGTATATATATATGTGTGTGTGTTTTTAAAGAAATTAATACTTTAAGCAAGGGAACATTAAATTGATCAAAAGTTACAGTAATGACTTTTATAATATTACAAAAAATTATATTTCAAATAAATGCTGTTTTTTTAACTTTATATTCATCAAAGAATCCTGAAAAATAAAATGAATCTTTGTTTCCACAAAAATACAGAGCAGCAAAAACTGTTTTCAACATAAACTCTTTTCAATACTAATGCAGGATTGGTGAGCAGAAAAGACTTCTTTCAAAAACATCAAAAAAAAAAATCTTACCAACCCCAAACTTCAACTTGTTGTTCTTTGTAGGGCATCATTGCTGAAGAGAATAAAAGTGGCAAACCTCAGGAAGACGAGGATCCTGGGAAGTTCCGTGAAGCCGAGCTGAAGATGCGTAAGTTGTTTGGAATGCCGGAGGAAGAGAAGCTGGTGAACTATTACCCCTGCAGCTACTGGAAGGGCAGAGTCCCGCGGCAGGGCTGGATCTACCTGTCTGTAAATCACCTCTGCTTCTACTCCTTTCTGCTGGGAAAAGAGGGTGAGATACATGCATGCTTGATGCATACTTCAAAATGTACAGTGGAACTAAATTTGTACAACAAAAGAAAATAGAACACAACTAGAACCACAACAAACAAGCGTAATTTTTTTGGATGTTTTTTTTAATGAGTTAAAAAAAAATTCCTTGTTTGTATTTATATTTTTTACTATATATATATATATATCTTCATCTTCTTCAATCTTCATATTTGAACCCTTTCCAACAGTGACTGTATGATTTTGAGATCCATCTTTTCACTCTGAGGACAATTGAGGGACTCATACATAATTACAAAAGGTGAAAACATTTTACTGATGCTCAAGAAAGAAATAATAGTTGCAGGTAAGTCCCTTGGTTGTCCTCAGTGTGAAAAGATGGATCTCAAAATCATACAGTCATTCTTGGAAAGGGTTCAAATATGCAAAAGATACTGGAAAATAATTTGTGGGACCTGAAGGATTTTCTAAAGAACAGCAGGCAATTTTAACTGTTCAGGACAAACAAGGGACTCATGAACAGCTATCACAAAAAAACCTGTGGATCATCCAGGTAACAACACAGTATTAAGAATCAAGCGTATGTAAATCATTTTCTCACGTGATAATTTTTATAAATTCAACTATTATTTTCTCTTGTGGACTATATGTAAATGTCTTTTATGTGAAATATCTTATTCAGGTCAATACTAAATAAAAAAAACAATGTGCATTTTGTATGATCCCTCTTATTTTGGTAAAATAATTAACATTTTGCAGATACTGCAAAGTGTATGTAAATTGACCACAACTGTTTATATATATATATATATATATATCACAAATGTATATGTATATAACAAAAGCTTATATTAAATAGTATTTAAAAGCAAAAATAGATACATATTATATAGCATTTTTGAGTTGTGCAGCCCTAGTTGAAATGATTAAAAAGTGTTTGTTACTCCTTTCTTCTTACCAGATAATTAAGTATATTCACATGAATGGAAATCTTTTTATTATGTGCAAAGAAAAAGATCATGTAGTCATACAAGAGACATTAAAGTAGCACATGGATGAGATATTGGTCATTATACCAAATTATTCAACCACAATATGTCAAGACTGACCAATCAGAATGAAGTATTTCAGGTAGCTGTTTAGTGACTTCATTTTGGATGCTCTGTGAAAAGGGCTCTGTTTCGTATTGAATTAAGTGTTCTGTAGTTAGTGTGAAATTGTGTTAGTGCATGCTTCTTTTCTTCCACCATGCTTAATGAAATCTGTTCTTCCTCTTTCTTGTTTTTCATTTGGACTTACTAAATCTTTTTCATCTTTATTTTCATCTCCTGTCCGTGTAGTTTCGCTGGTGGTGCAGTGGACGGACGTCACGCAGTTGGACAAGAATGCCACGCTGGTTTTCCCCGAGAGCATCCGCGTGAGCACACGTGACACCGAGCACTTCTTCTCCATGTTCCTCAACATCAACGAGACCTTCAAACTGATGGAGCAGCTGGCCAACATCGCCATGAGACAGCTGCTGGACAACGAGAGCTTCTCCGCCGATCGCTCGCTCCCCAAACCCTGCAAGACCCTGAAAAACGTCTCTGCACTCAAGAGGTGAGCAGACTGCATGTGATCCTGGTCTGATGAGATGAAGTTTGCATGTTTGACCAGGTCTTGAATTTCATTGTATAAACAGAATGTCCTGTTTGTCAGAATTGTCTGGTTTTATTTTGTGTAATATACCTTTTTAAGGGGTCAGTATAAGTAAATAGATGTTGGTTAATAACTTAAAGTAGTTAAACAGTAGCTACCATCACTACAAGTTGAGTTTCTTTTCACATGTTTCAGGGACTTGGACGCACGTGCAAAGAATGAGCGGTACAGAGCGCTATTCCGGCTCACACAGGACGAGCGTTTGGATGGACACACCGACTGTACGCTATGGACGCCGTTCGCTAAGATGCATGTCGTCGGCCAAATGTTTGTTTCTAATAACTACATCTGCTTTGCCAGTCGAGAGGAAGATCTGTGTCAACTTATCATTCCACTGAGAGAGGTAAATGCACATGCTTTCACTGTCCCTGAAGCATGTTTTATTAGATTGTGCTGGTTTTAACCCTGTGAGAAGACTTTTTTTTAATTCAGTTAACTCTTTTGAAGAGGTTTTTAACAGAGTTAAGCCAAATACAGTTTTTATCTGATACAATTTAGCCATACATTTTTCTCACCATGAAAACAGCCACAGAAGCTGGCATAGCGTTAAAAACAAACAAGCAAACACACACACACACACCTATAGTCACAACAGCTTGACAGACACTTCCTCTCTCTCATTTTCTCTCTGTAGGTGACTATAGTGGAGAAAGCGGACAGCAGCAGTGTTTTGCCGAGTCCACTGTCGATCAGCACTAAAAACAAGATGACCTTCCTGTTTGCCAACCTCAAAGACCGTGACTTCCTGGTACAGCGCATCTCTGACTTCCTGCAGCGCACGCCTGAGAGGCCATGTGGCCTGATCACGCAATCTGTGAGTCAGAACTTATCAGAATAGTATAGTATTTCAATTTTATATACACTGTTGATGAAACGTTTGGGATCAGTACGATTTTTTAAAAATGTTTTTGAAAGAAGTCAAAAATACAGTAAAAACAGTAATATTGTGAAATATTATTACTATTTCAAAGAACTGTTTTCTATGTGAATATATTGTAAAATGGGATTTATTTCTATGATGCGAAGCTGAATTTTCAGCATCATTACTCCAGTCTTCAGTGTCACACGATCCTTCAGAAATCATTCTAATATGCTGATTTGCTGCTCAAGAAACATTTCTGATTATCATCAATGATGAAAACTGTTGTGCTTTAAACAGCATTTATCTGAAATAGAAAACTGTTATAAAATTATAAAAGTATTTACTGTCACTTTGAAGCAATTTAATGCATCCTTGCTGAATAAAAGTATTCATTTAGTTCAAAAACAAAAGTGTTACTGACCTTAAACTTGTTAACTAGAGTATTTACTTTCATGCTTATAGACTTTTGCCCCATTGTAGTGTAACTCATTTCCACATTTGTCATTGCTTTCAGGAGAATCCCAGCCCGAGTACGCCACCCTCTCTGCCCCCGTCTCCTCCTGTCCTGGGGCTCGGAGAGATGCCCCAAAACCAACACTACAGCCCCAATCTGGCCACTGCCAAGAAGGGCCTACTGCAAATCTACCAGCAGGACGTCCCGGAGGAGCTGGGGCCCAAAGCGGTGAGACACACCCCTCTCACGTCCATCAGCCCCCATGTGAAGTGGTTTAAACAATTATGCATAAAAGGATTTTAAAGTCATTTTATTTGATTATTACACAGCTATGCAGCAATTTAATGTGTTCTTTCTGGCTAAAAGTACAATATTTTTTTAAACAAACAAACAGGAACTTGCTGACACAAACAAATGTTATTATTGTTAACTAAAAATAAAATAATAAAAAATGTGTTACTTGAAATAAAATAATTTTCAACAGAAATAGAATAAAATATAAAATCAAACATGTTTTATTTCAGCTAGTTGCCAAGGCAACATTTCCGTTTAGTTAAAGTACTAAAATAACTAAAACGAAATAAACAAACTATTAAATAAAAATTAATAAATACTGTAGACATCTATAAAATCGTATTAAAATAATAAAAAGGAAATACATTTTTTTTAACTAAAATGAAAGTGAAAACAGAAACAATAACAAAACTATAATAACATATCAATGATACTAAATTAACACCGTTCCAAACAGACAGAAGATGTAATTTAAACTATCACTACTATGTAAGACATTAGTTGCCTGGTGTTTCCTTGGTTTTATGTTGCCCTTGCTCTTTCTCCTCCTCCAGACGAGAGAGAAGATGAAAGAGGAATCATGGAACATCCATTTCTTTGAGTTTGGCCGCGGAGTGTGTATGTACCGCACATCTAAGAGCAGAGAGCTGGTTCTGAACGGGATACCAGAGAGTTTGAGAGGAGAACTGTGGCTGCTGTTCTCAGGTAATGAGTCCTCCAAGCACCAGGGGCGCTGCTCACCAAGACCACTGACAGTGTGTTTCAGAAGGTTTTCTGTTCTGTCCTTAACTGCAAAGAATCAAAGTGTGTATGTTTGGATTGGAATACTAGTATACTGCAATCAGCACAGTACATACTGCATATAGATTTGTCTTTTAAAAAGTGTATGCAATATACAACAGTCATTTCAAACAATAATGTGCTACACAGTGTTTTATACAATTATAATATTTATTAATATTTTGAATTCTTGAATTCTTATTTCACATGTTTTATTGGCAAGCTTCACTTATTGGTAATTTTACTTATTTGTAAAATGCGTTTGATGATTTTAGATTTAAGATCAGAATGAGTTTTATTGCCAGGTATGTTTACACATACGAGGAATTTGTTTTCATGACAGAAGCTCCACAGTGTAACAGAATGACAGTGACAGAACAAAAACACAGATAATAAAAAATAGAAAAATAGAACAAGTAACTAAGGAATAAAAATATACATTAAAAATATACATATACAATAAATTTTTTTTATTTTAGTTTACATTTTAGTAATTTTGTTAGTTTTGTTTTTAATATATATATATATATATATTTATGTTTAAAAGTTATTTCAATAAACAATGTTTTCTATTTAACTCTTTCAATTTTTGTCCAGTTTGTTTTAGTAATTTCAACTTAAACTTATTTTATTTCAGTTAGTTGTCAAAGCAATATTTCTTTAAAATATTTTTGTCTACCTTTTTTCTAATTTAATTTAATTTAATTTGTTTCAATTAACAAAAAAAGTTTTTTTTTAGCTACCAGTGATGAGACTAGTACGACATTCCAGTCACATGTTTGTTTTGTTTTTTGATTCAAATTTGAATAGAGTAATTTTGCATTTTTCATCCATTTTGTCTAGAAAAAGATGTTAAAAGTTGAGTTTATTCAGATTCATTTGTCACATTGTAATTGTATTTATTTTTTTGCAAGGGACCATGTAAAAAATTAAACATAAATGTTTCCATTTGATGCTGTTTACCAGAGTTAGCCAATAGTTAGCCAGAGACTATATTTTCATCTGCAGTCTCTGAGCAGGTCACCATTAAAAAAACTGCTTTGTGTGCACTGTTTATATCCTGCACATTTTAGCAAATGCGGTACATCACTTGGGGGTGCAGTGCATAAAGAACATTTGCGTACTGTGCACAGTTAACATGAGTATTAGTATGCTTGTCCTCACGTGTGTGTGTGTGTGCGTGTGTGGATGTGTGTTGACTTCCGCTGCATGTGTGTGACCGTCATGTTTACACATCTGTGTGAGATCTCACACACTGTCAGAGTAAAACAGACCATCCGCTGTTGTCATGGAGCTGCTCTGCTCCTCATTACCATCACATGACTTTTAAACCCTGTTATTTTTCAGGTGCTCAGAATGAGATGGCTACACACCCGGGTTACTATGGCAGTTTGGTTGAGCAGGCGATGGGTAAATGTACTCTAGCGACGGAGGAGATTGAGAGAGACCTGCACCGCTCCATGCCTGAACATCATGCCTTCCAGAACGAGATGGGCATCGCTGCCCTGAGACGCGTCCTGACCGCCTACGCTTGCAGAAACCCCAGCATCGGATACTGCCAGGTACACACACACACACACACACATCACTCTGATGTTGAGTATGCAGCTACAGTCAGCCCAAAAAGTATTTTGAAACTTAACCCACACTTATCTATGAATACCATTGGTTTACTCTTTGCAGCTCTGTGTGGAGTTATGACCATTTGAACCAATGAGATTTTATTGTGGCCCGAACTACCTAGTGTGACCATGAAACCATGTGAACAACAGAATGTCTTGTCACGATTGATTTATGGGTTTGTGTTTTGTGTTATTCTTGGTCTGGTCATGTTGTCTTGTTGTCTTTCTAGATTTGAGATCATATTATAAAATCAAAAGAATCACATTGAGAATTGCTTAGGCCTATACGCTTGTCTTGGTGGCAGAAGAAGCCAAGAAAAAAACAACAGCATAAGATTTATATATATATATATATACAGTGGGTACGGAAAGTATTCAGACCCCCTTAAATTTTTCACTCTTTGTTATATTGCAGCCATTTGCTAAAATCATTTAAGTTATTTTTTTTCCTCATTAATGTACACACAGCACCCCATATTGACAGAAAAACACAGAATTGTTGACATTTTTGCAGATTTATTAAAAAATAAAAACTGAAATATCACATGGTCCTAAGTATTCAGACCCTTTGCTCAGTATTTAGTAGAAGCACCCTTTTGATCTAATACAGCCATGAGTCTTTTTGGGAAAGATGCAACAAGTTTTTCACACCTGGAGTTGGGGATCCTCTGCCATTCCTCCTGGCAGATCCTCTCCAGTTCTGTCAGGTTGGATGGTAAACGTTGGTGGACAGCCATTTTTGACGACTGATATTTATATCATTTATCTATACTGTTATAAAGATCTCATTGATTTACATTACAAGAATCAGAATTTCATCTTACTTTTTGGTCATATAAATACCAGCATATGCACCGAAAAATGTCTTTATTTATTTTTTGCTCATTTTGGGCCTATGAATAAGATTGAGCTGTTTTTTTTCTCCATATTCTCACTATCAGACTGAGCCATAAAACCCTAATGGACCAGATATGTTACTTAAAAAAAAAAAAAGGGCGAACTTTAGGCTTTACAGGGTTACGTTTTTTATCCTCTTTCTACTGTCTGAGCTTTGAGAACATGCACTAAATAAGGTTTGTGCTCTGATATCTGTTTCTCGGTCCTGCAGATATTTGGATAATGTTGTAAATAAGCAGACCGTTTCTCCACCCATTCCCCACCTTCATGCCCTGTTGACCAGTGGCAACAACCCTCCGCCTGAGATTGATGTCTTTGAGCTCATTAAAGCGTCCTATGAGGTGAGGGGGCGGAGCAAGAGGGACCTGGAGGAGCACCAATGCCAGTATGATTCTTTTTAACTGCGTACGTTTTTTTTGTAGAAGTTTGGAAGCCTGCGTGCCGATGTCATAGAGCAGATGAGGTTCAAACAAAGGTTAAAGGTCATACAGTCACTAGAAGACACAGCCAAGAGGAGTGTGGTAAGTGTGTGTTCATCAAAAGGTCTTATTTCACAATTTAAAATCTCCACATGTGATCATTTATGCTTTATTGTGTAATATTTAGGTGAGAGCGATCATGACAGAGTCCGCTTTCAGTATTGAGGAGTTGGAAGAATTGTATGTTCTTTTTAAGGTAAGATAAATGCGTACGTTTGTTTGTTTTATTTATTTAGTTGTTTATTTAGTATTATTATTAAATATTAATTTAATAATATTAAAGGGGTCCTATTATGCTCTTTTACAAAGTCTTGATTTTGTTTTGGGGGTGTACTAGAACATGCTCTCATGCTTGGTGGTTCGAAAAACGCATTATTTTTCACATAATTTACATTATTAAAATACCTTTCTCCCCATCCTGGCACAAACGGCTCGATTAGTTCCGGCTTTGATGAAGGTCCGCCTTCCGAAAAACAAAATGTGTTGTGATTGGTTAGCTGTCCCAGTGCGTTGTGATTGGCGAACAGCTTAGACGGTGTTTTAGTGCTGCCCCGCCCCTTGCTCCGTCTTTCAACAAAAGCTTTTGGGAATCCAGCACTTCTCACTCGTGATGTGGAAGCTGTCCTCAGTAAAATGCGCAGCACACAATAGCAAATTGGGGTTATAATGCTCAGGAACAGAGTTAAAAAGTAAATTGCAACCACTGTTTCCTGACATCATCCGCTTTCGAAAGCCCGAACAAAGACGTTTGGGCACGGAGGTGAAAAAAAACCAGCGTTTCAGGCGGTCCGCGCACCGGACAAGAAGCGCAGCGTCGCGCCACGTCTTTAAAATTCAAATACATTATCTGCGCCGCTGCCTGCAGCGTCTTCACACACAAACAAAACTTACTAGAGAAGCATGAAGTGGGACATAATATACCTCTGTAAATAAATACAATTTAAATTCACGTCTCGCACACTTAAATGCCCTTTGTATGGAACATATACGCTCCCTTCAAACTGGAATCATGGCGGAATATCCGGTAATGTCCACTTCGCAGGGCACTTACAGTCAAATATAACAAACGTATGAAGCAATAAGAGAAACACACAAAATGTACAGAGCGGGGGTACGCGAGGACTGGAAATGAGAACCGCTGTTCTAGACATGCCAAAAATGTGAGGCTACAGCACAGCAGCTTTTCTTCTTCGTCGTCTCGTCTCATGCACTCACTTAACCAAGCGTTCTAACCACGACCTCGCCCCTCCCCACCCCCCAACCATTCGAATTTCTGTAGGCGGGAATTATTTGTAATGATATTCCAATGAGCCGCTTTGTGATATCACAAAGCCCGGAAAACCAACGCTGTAGTCCAAACGAGCCGTTTGCTGTAGTTCTTGAAAAGGGATTTTTAAAAAACAAAATATCTCCCTTTGGAGTGGACTTTGAGATCTGTAACTTTCTAGATCTTTTTTATGCCCAAACATACACACTACACACTGACTAAAATTAAAAAAGTGATAAGGCATAATAGGACCCCTTTAAATAATTTATTATTGTTATTATTATTACATATTTTATTTGTTTTTTTTTTATATTTATTTATTATTTAATTTATTTTGCATCGAAAGGTGTTTTATCTGATCTGTCTCCTAAACTAAAGGAACCACTTGCTGTCAGTGTATTTGTGTACATTATAGATGTTACCACCAAACATTTTATTCATTAATTAATTATGTATTAATATTTAATAAATACTTAATGTATCATCATTATTACATAATATTTTTTGTCCGTTCATTTGTTTTTAATTTGACTTATTTTGTTTGTAAATGTGTTTTATTCTGATCTGTGTTCTTCCTAACACCTTACTGCTTTATTAAAACTAAAGAGAAAACATTAGTTGGTGTTTTTGTGTACATTATAGTTGGTCAGTTAGTCAGATCTTGGTAACAATAAATATATATATATATATATATATATATATATATATATATTAGATGGAAATGTAACTGTATATATATATATATATATATATATAATTATGTATTATATTTGAAAGAAATATATATATAAAAATAGGGCATTTGATTTGAATTGTCAGATGTTGAAATAAATTGTGTGTATATATATATAAATATATATATATATATTATATGAATGGTTTTTCTTGTTTGATAACGATTTAAAAAAATAATTGTAGTATTATGTTGTAAATATATAGTACAGTTGAAAAGTTTCATGCTGACTTTAAAAGCCAAAACTACATGCCTAGAGGTGTGTTTGTTTTTGAATTTAAATTTTATTATCTGTTCTATATTTTATATCTGTTGTGTCCAAGTGTCTTTCTGTAAGCAGTTTTTGCTTTGGAGGGCTGAATTACAGTACTACTGATAGAGCTTCACTTTTATTTCTTCAGCAGTATATGAGAGAATGTTCTATTTATTCCAAACAAATCCAGACAAATGTAATTGTTATTAATACTCTCTTTTAGTTTTCTGAATGGTTTATTTTTAATGAACATGCTTTGACTTTTCTGATCTCCCTGCATGTGCCTATGGATGGTTTGGTCCAGGCTTACTGACTGATAACTAATTATTAATCTTCTGCACTCTTATTTTCCTCATTTTACCCCCCCCCCCCCCCCCCCCCCCCCCTCTCTTATCAATATTCTCTTTTAACTCTTAACACTTTCTTTCTCTCGTTCTCTCTCTTTCTTTCATTCTCATCTGATCAGATCCTCCCTTCCTGTCTCATCTGGACTTCCTGGCACAGGAAGTGACCTCAGGTTTGTGTCTGTCTATCATTTCGAGTGCATTCTCTGTCTCTCTGGTGTTTTGGGCATCAGACGATGCCGTCAGTGCAGATTTTTCTCATTTACCTCCTCTGTTGGTTTTGGTGTTTTCCAGTCTTTTTCACCATCTGTCTTTCACATGATATCATCTTACCTTTGTGGTGTTCTTTTCATTTTTAACCAAGGGTTTGATGTCATGAAACCTTTCTGGTGAACTCTTTTAAGTGGTTAATGGTTAAATGTCGTTTTATTAATGCAACATTAATGTTGTAACAGGTGAGGGGCTGAAGGAGGCAGGAGACGCATCAGCGGCCGGAGACACAGATGAGAGAAAAGGTGATAATACTCGGCTTTTGATGACTCCGCTAAGGAATCGGTTTAATCTGGTTATTTCTTTAATGGCAATGTCGTGTGTTTTTCAGAGGAGAAGCCGAAGGACTATAAGTACTATCTGAGAATGTGGGCCAAAGAAAAAGAGCCAAAGAAGGAGAGTATCAAAGATCTGCCTCGGATGAATCAGGTGACCAGTATACACTGATCTCGCTCTCATTTTTTGGGAAAGAAATTTAGGCTACTGTATGTTCACATTGAAACTGAATGTGGCCTAAATCAGATTTTCTACTGACAAATAAGCAGATGCATATCTGATGTTTGTGCAGAGATTTCAGTGTGAATAATCAGATCTGTTTTCAATGTCATAACTGCATGTTTGATTTACCCTCGGCGTGAACCGTAAAGTGATTTATGAATTGCAATGAATGAAGCATTGCACAGAAACCTGAAAAAATGTTGATGTGCATTCGATTCTTTGGAAAATCACAATTAAATGAAATTCTAATGTGTAGAGTTAAAACCCAAAAATCCAAAGCTGTTCTTGTTCTATAATAAAAAGTACATTTAAATTTGAAAGTGGATACATTATTATTAATATTATATTATATAATTAATATTATTATTCTAATAAATCCAGCCAGATTGTGGATTCTGAAAGTACTTTTTATATGTACCCTAAACATTGCAATTGAATTTTTTTTTGTGCATTACATCTATGCCCCGCGGTTACACGGTTAAAATTAAGTATTCAGATTCAGAGGTTTACATGCATAATATTTTCCTATTTAACTAATTAACATGTGTATCACTCCTTTTATTGGATTATTAATTACTTGTGCTGTCAAACGATTAATCGCATACAAAATAGAAGTTTTTGTTTGCATAATATATGTTGTGTGTTCTGTGTATATTATGTATATATAAATACGCACACATACAGTATATATTTTGAAAATATTTACATGTTTACGTACAGTGGGGAAAAAAAGTATTTAGTCAGCCACCAATTGTGCAAGTTCTCCCACTTAAAAAGATGAGAGAGGCCTGTAATTTTCATCATAGGTATACCTCAACTATGAGAGACAAAATGAGAAAAAAAAATCCAGAAAATCACATTGTAGGATTTTTAAAGAATTGATTTGCAAATTATGGTGGAAAATAAGTATTTGGTCAATAACAAAATTTCATCTCAATACTTTGTTATATACCCTTTGTTGGCAATGACAGAGGTCAAACGTTTTCTGTAAGTCTTCACAAGGTTTTCACACACTGTTGCTGGTATTTTGGCCCATTCCTCCATGCAGATCTCCTCTAGAGCAGTAAAGCACTAAATGCAGTAACTCCCTCCAAAGATTTTCTATGGGGTTGAGATCTGGAGACCGGCTAGGCCACTCCAGGACCTTGAAATGCTTCCTACGAAGCCACTCCTTCATTGCCCGGGCGGTGTGTTTGGGATCATTGTCATGCTGAAAGACCCAGCCACGTTTCATCTTCAATGCCCTTGCTGATGGAAGGAGGTTTTCACTCAAAATCTCACGATACATGGCCCCATTCATTCTTTCGTTTACACGGATCAGTCGTCCTGGTCCCTTTGCAGAAAAACAGCCCCAAAGCATGATATTTCCACCCCCATGCTTCACAGTAGGTATGGTGTTCTTTGGATGCAACTCAGCATTCTTTCTCCTCAAGTTGAGTTTTTACCAAAAAGTTCTATTTTGGTTTCATCTGACCATATGACATTCTCCCAATCCTCTTCTGGATCATCCAAATGCTCTCTAGCAAACTTCAGACGGGCCTGGACATGTACTGGCTTAAGCAGGGGGACACGTCTGGCACTGCAGGATTTGAGTCCCTGGCGGTGCAGTGTGTTACTGATGGTAGCCTTTGTTACTTTGGTCCCAGCTCTCTGCAGGTCATTCACTAGGTCCCTCCGTGTGGTTCTGGGATTTTTGCTCACAGTTCTTGTGATCATTTTGACCCCACGGGGTGAGATCTTGCGTGGAGCCCCAGATCGAGGGAGATTATCAGTGGTCTTGTATGTCTTCCTTTTTCTAATAATTGCTCCCACAGTTGATTTCTTCACACCAAGCTGCTTTCCTATTGCAGATTCAGTCTTCCCAGCCTGGTGGAGGTCTACAATTTTGGTCTTGGCCATGGTGGAGTTTGGAGTGTGGCTGTTTGAGGTTGTGGACAGGTGTCTTTTATACTGATAATGAGTTCAAACAGATGCCATTAATACAGGTAATGAGTGGAGGACAGAGGAGCCTCTTAAAGAAGAAGTTACAGGTCTGTGAGGGCCAGAAATCTTGCTTGTTTGTAGGTGACCAAATACTTATTTTACCGAGGAATTTACCAATTAATTCTTTAAAAATCCTACAATGTGATTTTCTGGATTTTTTTTCTCATTTTGTCTCTCATAGTTGAGGTATACCTATGATGAAAATTACAGGCCTCTCTCATCTTTTTAAGTGGGAGAACTTGCACAATTGGTGGCTGACTAAATACTTTTTTGCCCCACTGTATATATTAAATATATTTAATATATAAAGATTTCTGAAATATATACATGCATGTGTGTATTTATATATACACAATAAATATAAACAGCATATGTACATATATTATGTAAACAAAAACTTTTATTTTAGATGCGATTAATCGTTTGACAGCACTAGTAATTTATTAATTTATTAACTTATATTATAAATGCTAAAAAAAATATATCATACTTTGAGATTAACATTATTTTGCTCTTAAATCATTTTAACAATTATTAAACTGTAACGTTATTTACGAAATGCACTGTATGAAGGATTGAGTATTAGATCTATATATATATATATATATATATATAAATATATATATATATATTTATATATATATATATATATAAACCTTCAAAAAATTTAATTCATTGGGTTGTGTGTGTGTGTGTATACATGTGTACACAACACATTTTAATTTGATTTAAAATCATATCAAATCAGGATTAAGTTATTAAGTAGCATCCTAGTATTGCAGTGCTTTTTCAACCTATTGGAACAGAACATAAGAATTAAGACTACAACACATTTTTGTGTGGTCATTCAATTACAGGAGCAGTTCATTGAGATGTGTAAGACTCTCTACAACATGTTCAGTGAAGATCCCATGGAGCAGGAGCTATATCACGGCATCGCCACGGTGGCGAGTCTCCTGCTGCGCATCGGAGAAGTGGGCAAGAAATTCACCAACAATGGCAGCCAGAAAACCGAAGTCCAGCTGCCCTCAGCAGTCGACGCTCTGCAGCCGGAGAGGGAGGATTCGTCCGGGGAGGGAGGATCAGGACAGTCCTTGGTCTCCAAGGCCCTGGCGGAGGCGCAGCTGGAGACGCCACCTGCAACAGCGGCCGGCTCTGACGAAGAGGCCAAAGACGACACGTCCGTTTCGTCCTACTCTGTAGTGAGTGCTGGTTCACTGCAGTGCGAAGACATCGCCGATGACACGGTGCTGATTGGCTGCGCAAGCGGAGACATGGTGGATCGGAGGCGGGGCAGTGTGCCAGATGCCGATTGGTCGATCACCTTTGAGCAGGTTTTAGCATCGTTCCTGACGGAAACATCGCTGGTCGACTACTTTGAGAAAAAACATGACATCCAGAGCAAAATAACGGCATGCAAGTCACTGAGAGCCGTGGAAAGACAGACAAGTACGTCAAGCGATCACGATTTCTCTCTGAACACACACTGACATGCTCATAAAAACATGCATGAACACAAACACACAAATGCAAAACAAGAATATGTGTATGTATGTCCGGTTATTATCTATAGGAGTTTGATACTTCTGTGTCATAGTCAAACAAATAGTGTTTAATTCTATACCTGTAACCTCTGGAGTTTAGATGTAATAACCACGTTTCACTCTAGCATAGGGGTTTTGATGGGTTGAATGCGTCAACTAGCAGGTCTGGAATAGAGGATTATGGGATATGGCATGCTTCGGCTCATACAGATCAAAGAATGAAACATCAAACTAAAAATATTTGATTTGCACACTGAAATATCCCACAATACAGTGTACATCACTAATGCTTTCTTGCACATGTGCTATAGCTGGATATATTCTGTGTATTCGGGAGTAAGAAGTGTCCTTTCGGTGAAGAATCCAACTCATAGCTCTGCTCAGATTCACTTCAACCCCTCAGATGGAAACAGTCTCTTAGCTTTGGTTCAAAGCCATGTTTCTGTGTGTTAAAAATCAGCTTTACCGTTTTTAAGTAGGTCATTGCCTTACTGAAGTGAACAGATGCATCATTTGTTCGAAGACAGCGTTGCATGTGTTTGTTGTGGTGTTTTGCGAGGATAGCGCCATAGTTATATTCTGTCAGATGTTTGGTCGCCAGAAGCTACACAAGTGGTACAGCGCTGGCTTATCTTAGTCATTCAAACCATAATGAGAGATGCAGTCAAAAATGTAGCCGATTAATTTAGCACAATAATGGCCTTTACCACATAAAGCAGGAATTTTTGTTCTCTTTTATTCTCCAAAAATGTTTTTTTGCTGTCAGGCCAGAATAAGCATGTACAATCACTGGGCTTCGTTCATGAAACTCAAGCAGAGCGAATTTGGCATTTGTACATGAATTGTCACATTGAGATAAATGAAACATTCATAAAATGGATTGAATGCACAATGCAAACAACATTTGTAAATGCTTGTAAGTTGAGGCACTGAATTAAAATGAAGCATTCAAGAATTCACTAAACTGTTGAATTAATCATGTAAATTATTGAATTTAATTTAGTGCATCAATTTACTGTTTTATAAATCTTTTTAGGCATTGTGTGTTAAATTAAAAGAAAACATTCAGTATGCATTAAATTGTTGCATTGAATAAAAAATTCATATGAAATTTTATTTACTTAATAATTGAATTGATACATTTGAATTTAGATAAACCATTCTTATAAATAATAGCATTCAATTAATAAAACAAATACGTTTGCATATTTTTATGTAAATTTATGCACTGAATTAAAATTCAAGAAATCATGTAAACCGTTGAATTGAATCATGTAAATTATTAAATTTAATTCAGTGCATCAATTTGCATTAATTTACTGTTTTGCAAATGTTTTATGCATCGCGTGCTGAATTCAATGAAAACAGCCAGCATGCATTAAATTGTGTGAAATTATATTTACAAAAATGTATGTTTGAATTTAGTTAAACCATTCTTATGAGTCATTATATAAGTCATAGCTTTAAATTAATTTTCAAAAATTCTTAGATTATTATTTTTTTTCTCTGTAAAATCATTGAAGGTTAAAAATGTTTGCTTGCGTTTTATAAACGAGGCCCTGTTATGTTAATTTTGGAATGCAGTAAAAGTAAAATTTTCGTTTCTTGATCGCTATGCTTTATATCAAATGAAGATGGAGAAAAAATGGAGAGAACTTTTAGTCTGGAGAAACGCTCAGGCATAACATGATGTTCTAGAACGTTTAAAAAACAAATTCTAAGCATGTACATTGAGAGGAAACTAGAACCTGTTGTTTAAGGACAGGCTTGGCCTTTTCATCCTGATCTTTAATCACATGACTGAATGAGTCTGGACGCTTGCATGTAATCAGATGTAGTTGAGCTTCTAAACCTGTAAATAGTTGCATATCACATTATTATAGCAGAAGTTTTATCGTGCAATGATCGTTCTGGTTTGTTTTGTCATGTATCGCTCTGCTTTTGTTTGTCCCGTCACCTGTAATTGGTTTCTATTCTATATTTGTGATTTTTAACAGTTGCTTTTGTACTAAGTAAATTAGCTTTAAATTAAGCCTGTTCAGGCTTTAAAAAAATCCTGAAGGATTTCAGTATTAATTTTCAGTTGTTTAAAGAGCTTTAAAACAGGATTTAAATGGGGCAGAATTCAGAAGACATTTGGACCAGTACAAATGAGAAATTTTAAATCACTGATGCATTAAAATATATAAAAATGTTTTTAAAATTGCTCACATTGATTTAAAGCATCAGTTCATCTCCGCTATGAAATGCACTTTTGTCATTTGAATGTGAATGAATCTCCTGCTCCTGCCACATGACCTCTGTCGAACTGTGAAAATAACTGACTTCACCTCACTGTGATTCTAATTAACTGTTAATTCATGCACAAACTAACACCGTTTCCACTTTCATCCTGCATTTCGCAAAAGGAGTGAATCTGTCCTTGTTATTCTCTTGCTGGAGAGTTCCAATTTCTGTAGGCTTCTGTCTGTGACCTGCAGTTACTTATTGTCATGAAAGCAGTATTGTGTAATATTATGTAATAAAAATCAAGTTATGGAAAATCTGAGCATTTTGAGTCTTTTCATGCACATTCACTTTGTTAACGCGAGTTGTCCAAAGCACAACAAACCTTGTAACCTCAGTCATGACTGAAAGAAATGTGCTAAGATACATCTTCCAAAATAAAGCACTGATGACTTTTATTATGTAATGAACAAAGGAAAATGACTCTGTGAAATGTTGCATTAGTATCCGTTTGCAAAATTAGACCGGTTTAATTTAACCATCAGTGGTTAAATTTATGGATTGAAAGTCATTTTAAAAAGATTATAGAAAATTAATAATTACAGAAAAATAATAATACTAGAAAAAATGTTTGTATTAAACACTCTTAAAGGAATAGTTCAACCAAAAATGAAAATTTACTAATCTTCAGGCTATCCAAGATGCAGATGAGTTTGTTTGTTCATGGGAACAGATTTAGAGAAATGTAGTATTACATCACTTGCTCACCAATGGATCGTCTGCAGTGAATGGGTGCCGTCAGAATGAGTCCGAACAGCTGATAAAAACATCACAATAATCCACAAGTAATTCACACGACTCCAGTCCATGAAGTGAAAAATTATTTTTTACTTAAAGGGGTCATAATATGCTGCTAAAAAGAACAGTATTTGGTGTAATGAAATATTTATGTGGTTTAAGGTTCAAAAAACACATTATTTGTTATAACACATTTGTTTCTTACAAACACACAGCCTTTTACTTCACAAGATGTTAATTGATGGACTGGAGTGGTGTGGATTATTGTGATGTTTTTATCAGCTGTTTGGACTCTCATTCTGACGGCACCCATTCACTGCAGAGGATCCACTGGTGAGCAACTGATGTAATGCTACATTTCTCCATTTAAAAATATAGTTTAAAGGGTTCATATGATGTTGCTAAAAAGAACATTATTTTGTGTATTTGGTGTAATGAAATGTGTTTATGCGGTTTAAGGTTAAAAAAACATTATTTTCCACATACGATACATTATTGTTTCTCCTCTATGCCCCGCCTTTCTGAAACACATCGATTTTTACAAAGCTCATCGGTCTGAAAAGCGAGGTGTGCTGTGATTGGCCAGCTATCCAGTGAGTTGTGATTGGCCGAATACCTCAAGCGTATGATGGAAATGTTACGCCCCTCACATACTGTGATGATGCCCTGTCTGGGCGGAGCGACGAGACAAAAACATTAAAACCCATTATAATGAGGCATTTGTTGCATCCAGTGGGGACATAATTACGGATTATAAGAGTGAGCGGAGGTCGGTGGGCTTGAGAAAGGCGCGGCTGGCGGATTCGAAGAAGGAGCGTCTGGAGGGCTTGCAGCAACCACATGTGACGACCCCACACACAGCGTCTCCACGGCATGGCGGCAACAATACTACAGTGAGAATGAAAGTTTTGCCACCTTTCTTTGCGTGAACAATTTGGGTGGAGTTATGCAAATCTTCCCACATCGTGATGTAGACATGTGGGGGCGTGTTAGAACGAGCCGTTTTAGGTAGGCGTGGCTGACTCTTAACTTTTATAAAGAATATCTCTTTGGATTTGAGACTTTAGTCTTTGCAACTTTACAGATCTTCTTTATGCACCAAGAGCTTGTAACACTCCAAAGAGAAAGGAAAACTTGAAATCACATCATATGACCCCTTTAAATATAATCCACAAGCTGCCTGCAGATGCGTGTATTTAAGTGCTAGAAGAGCAATGCAGCTGAAATGAAAAGCAATGAAGTGTCTTGTGTGAAACCTCAAATGTTTGAGACACAATTGTGAAATTAGTTTAACTTGCAACACTGGAGAGACAGCAAGCGATTTGGTCAGATCCATGCATGCGATTTATATGAACGTGAGCTTTCAGAATAACTATTTGAATTTGTTTGTGTGTGAAATGTATAGTAGCTTTAACCTGCAATAAAACTTATGTTTATTAAAAAAAAAGACCTTTTAATGCTGTTATTTCCATGCACCAATTTTGCAGTGACCGATCTGTCTTAAATCTGTCCTTCAAACTTCTGCCATCTGTATGGTTTCAGATGAATTTTGTTATTTGTTGATCCCAAACGCTTGTGTGTGATAAGGCAGCCATTGCTCTGTAATGCGGCTGAAGGATCACAGGTTGTTGGCCTGTATGATCTGCTGTAGGATGCTGTCTACATCAGTCGTGTCGTAGCTGATTCCCTGCATATCCAGGCTCGGTAGGATGGAAGACAATAATGCAACCACATCCTGACGGATAGACCGCAACCTCTCCAGCGTCACACTGCTGTCAGAGTGAAATGACAAAGACAGGTTCATATTTGTGTATATTTATACAGGGGCATCTCAATAAATTAGAATGTCGTGGAAAAGTTCATTTATTTCAGTAATTCAAATCAAATTGTGAAACTCGTGTATTAAATAAATTCAATGCACACAGACTGAAGTAGTTTAAGTCTTTGGTTCTTTTAATTGTGATGATTTTGGCTCACATTTAACAAAAATCCACCAATTCACTATCTCAACAATTTAGAATACGTCATAAGACCAATAAAAAATTTTTTTTAGTGAATTGTTGGCCTTCTGGAAAGTATGTTAATTTACTGTACATGTACTCAATACTTGGTAGGGGCTCCTTTTGCTTTAATTACTGCCTCAATTCGGCGTGGCATGGAGGTGATCCGTTTGTGGCACTGCTGAGGTGGTATGGAAGCCCAGGTTTCTTTGACAGTGGCCTTCAGCTCATCTGCATTTTTTGGTCTATTGTTTCTCATTTTCCTCTTGACAATACCCCATAGATTCTCTATGGGGTTCAGGTCTGGTGAGTTTGCTGGCCAGTCAAGCACACCAACACCATGGTATTTAACCAACTTTTGGTGCTTTTGGCAGTGTGGGCAGCTGAATGAAATCAGCATCTTGAAAAAGCTGGTCAGCAGAAGGAAGCATGAAGTGCTCCAAAATTTCTTGGTAAACGGGTGCAGTGACGTTGGTTTTCAAAAAACACAATGGACCAACACCAGCAGATGACATTGCACCTCAAATCATCACAGACTGTGGAAACTTAACACTGGACTTCAAGCAACTTGTGCTATGAGCTTCTCCACCCTTCCTCCAGACTCTAGGATCTTGGTTTCCAAATGAAATACAAAACTTGCTCTCATCTGAAAGGAGGACTTTGGACCACTGGGCAACAGTCCAGTTCTTCTTCTCCTTAGCCCAGGTAAGACGCCTCTGATGTTGTCTGTGGTTCAGGAGTGGCTTAACAAGAGGAATACGACAACTGTAGCCAAATTCCTTGACACGTCTGTGTGTGGTGGCTCTTGATGCCTTGACCCCAGCCTCAGTCCATTCCTTGTGAAGTTCACTCAAATTCTTGAATCGATTTTGCTTGACAATCCTTATAAGGCTGCGGTTCTCTCGGTTGGTTGTGCATCTTTTTCTTCCACACTTTTTCCTTCCACTCAACTTTCTGTTAACATGCTTGGATACAGCACTCTGTGAACAGCCAGCTTCTTTGGCAATGAATGTTTGTGGCTTACCACCTTGTGAAGGGTGTCAATGATTGTCTTCTGGACAACTGTCAGATCAGCAGTCTTCCCCATGATTGTGTAGCCTAGTGAACCAAACTGAGAGACCATTTTGGAGGCTCAGGAAACCTTTGCATTTGTTTTGAATTGATTAGCTGATTGGCATGTCACCATATTCTAATTTGTTGAGATAGTGAATTGGTGGGTTTTTGTTAAATGTGAACCAAAATCATCACAATTAAAAGAACCAAAGACTTAAACTACTTCAGTCTGTGTGCATTAATACATGAGTTTCACAATTTGAGTCGAATTACTGAAATAAATGAATTTAATTTATTGAGATGCACCTGTATATATATACAAATACAGATACATTAAACACACAGTAGCATTTATTTGCTAAAAAAACTGTAAAAATTGTGAAATATTATTACAATTTTAAAAAACTGTTTACTATATGAATAGATTTTAAAATGTAATTTATTCCTGTGGATGGTAAAGCTGAATTTTCAGCATCATTACTCCAGTCTTCAGTGTCAACATGATCCTTCAGAAATAATTCTAATATGCTGCTTAATATTTTTGTGGAAAATGTGATGCATATGAAAAAAGCATTTATTTGAAATGAAAATGTCTTGCAATATTATAAATGTCTTTACTGTCACTTTTGATCAATTTAATGCCTTTGTGCTGAATAAAAAATGTAATTGTCCTTCAAAAAACTATATCTGTAATATATAAAATATATATAGATGTATAAAATCAAATATTTAAAAAGAAAAACTTAAGAAAATAAGAGAAAAAAAAGACAAGTAATAAAATATAATAAAAATGTAAAATAATGTTTTTTTTTAGCTATTTTGTCCAGCTGTAATCAGACACAATTATCACTTTTGATCGATTTAATGCATACTTGCTGAATAAAAGTATTGATTGCTTTAAAAAAAATAATATTGTGAAATATTATTATGATTTAATCTAATGATAAAAATCTAATTTATTCCTGTGATGCAAAGTTTAATTTTCAGCATCATTCCTCCAGTCTTCAGTGTCACGTGATCCTTCAGAAATTATTCTACTATGCTGATTTATTATCAGTGCTGGAAACTGTTGTGCTGCTTAATATTTTTTTGGTACCTGTGATACTTTTTTTCAGGATTCTTTGAAGAATAAAAAGTTAAAAAGAAGAGCATTTATTTAAAATAGAAATCTTTTCTAACAATATACACTACAGTTCAAAAGTTTGGGGTCAGTAAATTTTTATTCTTTCTTTTTTTTGAAAGAAATTATAACTTTTATTCAGCAAGGGTGTGTTAAATTGTGATAGCAAAGATTTATATTGTTAGAAAAGGTTTATATTTTGAATAAATGCTGTTCTTTTTAACTTTTTATTCATCAAAGATTCCTGAAAAAATTGTCTGTGGTTCAGGAGTGGCTTAACAAGAGGAATACGACAACTGTAGCCAAATTCCTTGACACGTCTGTGTGTGGTGGCTCTTGATGCCTT